TAAATAATGACTATCCGGCAAAATTTGTTTTTGACACGATCAATAGTCGTCTAAAATATTGGTTTAACAAAAAATTTTTTATTAATAATGTCTCAAATGACGATACGGTTATCGTATGATCACGTATTTTGGTTTTTGTTACCATATTGATTCTACGTCAGAGAAATTTTCGTCGATTTGTAAAGACACCAACATAAAATTAGCGTTTTTTAGCGATAACAAATTAAAGATTCATAAAAGTACAAAAGGATTTTTTTTTGCTCTTCCAAAATTTGATAATAAAAATGTGGTCTAGAGATAAGATAAGATTTGTTGTAAAGATTGCGATGTATCGTATGTGCGACAAATATGTAGGAAACTTTCCAGCAGAATATCTGAACATCGTAGACATATAAATTGGAACACTGACACTCTGTAATTACTGAACATCGTATTGAATTTACACATGACTTCGATTGGAAGAACTCCAAATTTAGACAAGGAGAAATTTTTGAACAAAAGATTAATTTCGGAAATGGCATTCATACTCATGTAAAGGAATGGCCTTAATTTACGTTCAGATACAGAAGGTTTATATCAGCTCTATACCTATGCAGCGATGCTTGAAAATTTTTCCTGATAAATGTTAGAAACTTTTTTAGATTTATAGTTTATTGATTTATTTTGACAAAGTTTTATTGGTTGACGAAAATGTAACAATTTTAACGAGATATGAATTTTCATATCTCGTTCATATTGAATTTTTTCATTTTTTCTTTTTATTATGTAATTCTTTATTGTAGAATTTTAATAATTTTGACAGTTTTTAATTCTTATAAAATAATTTATTGCGGTTTTTATCGGTTTGACTTAACAACTATATACATGTGTTTTGTTCGTCATATTTGCAAATTTGTCTTAATGTTTACTGTGTGACCTCTTACTTCGAGAATATCTGAATGACACGTCGTCGTACACGGACGTGTGTTTTAAAAAATGTAAGATTTATATTTGATTTTAACAATTTTACTTTTTAAGTTTTAATATGTTCAACAAAGCTTCAGTGCAATGCTTCATTCTCATAAATCTTGAGAATTTAATTACTTTTTTAGTTACATTTCAGGTCGAACGATTTGTTTATTTTCTTTGCGGCTTTCAACCTTCGGTAATTAAAGAATATGTGTTAGAGAAGCATTTCAAAACTCATCATTCAGTAAATTATTTAAATTACTCAAATTCAGAAAAATTGAATATTATAGAAGAGTTAAAATTAGTTTATCAAGAAGAAACTCCAATACCTTCTTTTCCTTGTTCTTCCCAAAAATCCCTACAAACCTCTTGCAGTTGTTTCTCTGCTTATAGTACAGCAGAAAATTCTAAGCTATTCACCGAAGGCGTTTTTGTAAAAAACTGTATTATTGAAGCAGTAAAAGCTTTTGGTAATTCCTTAACTCTGGAGGAAGCAATGAACATTCGTCTTAGTGCAAGAATTATAACATCAAGAATTGATGATATCAGTGATTATCCCATAAGGGATAAATTACCTTTTGAAATCATGTAAATATTTTTCTTCGCGCCTTGGCGAAAGCACATTCGACACATGAGTCAATTTAATATTTTTACTCGCATTGTACAAGACGATTATTCATGTATCAAGGAACTTTTAGATTTCGTCGTATTACGTAACACAACGACAGAACTCAATATTTTTTTGACAGTTGAAGAAACTCTTAAAAAATTTGACATAGATTTTAGTAAATGTTCTTCAATTACGACTGATAGCGCGAAAGCTATGATAGATTTAAAGAAAGGATTCGCCGGTCAATTAAAGCAATGAAATTTAAATATTCCCATTATTCACTGCATACTACATCAGGAAGCATTAGCCGGTAAAGTTGTAAAACTTTCAACAGCTATGGAGATCACTAAAATAATTAATGAAATTAAAGGTGGACATAAGTTCCTTACTAACCGATAATTTAAATTATTTCTTGAGGAACATAAAGCTGTTACACAGATGTCTTACTTTATTGTCCAATTCGTTGACTTAGTGCTGCGAATGTTTAGAAATATTTTTTACGATAAGAAAAGACGTTCTCCTTTTCCTGAAAGAAATGAACAATTCAAAATTTCACGAATATATCTCTTCTGAAAGCTATGACATTTCTTGGAAGATGTGAACTCGCTTTTATTACTGATATAAGTAATCAAGTTAGGCTTCTTAATTTAAAACTGCAAAGGACGAATCAAAATATTTCCCAATTAGTGCGTCACATTGATTCTTTCCGAAGAAAATTGCAGATATTAAAATCTCATTTAAATGATATTTTTCACTTTTTTCCTTCTTGTCAAATTCTTCTCGAAGAACATGACAATAATTGCAATTTCAAAGAATACATTCATTTTCTAGATTCTCTTATAGACGAATTTGATACACGGTTTACTTGCTTCAAAAAACTCAGAACTGAATTAATTCTTTTCGAGAATCCCCTTACAATTGAAGGACAGCATCTTGACTTGCAAAATAAATTATGTGATTTGCAGAACGATATTGCACTTAAAGAAATTGATGCCGATTTTTACAAAATGTTGGAAGAATTATCATAGATTTCGGACTTCAAATTCATTCCATATTCGGATCTACATATTTATGTGAGACATCCTTTTCAAAACTTATAAAAAATGAAAGATGTTCTATTTTGAGCGATGATTCTTTGCTTCGTCTTATGCGGCTCGCTACGTGTAATATGCAAATCGATGTTTCTGATCTCTCCAATAAAAGATTCCGAAAATCAGAATAAGTATTTTTCATTTCAGTTCGTTTTTATTTAATTACTTGGTCGTTCATCATTTTTATCAGTGGACTATCCCTTTTTATTGGGGATATCACTTAAAAAAAACCCGTCAAAAATAGTACCCTCAAAGGTGACGTGGAAAATTATTGAAAATTCATTGGATGCATTCATTTTGAGCGCTTACCCGTTGCTTCATTCTGTGTTAATTATATAATGAGTGAAAAAAAGATAGAATGAAGTTTACAGCGTGAGCGTCCAAAGCGTGCGCCCCGTGCACCTCATGTCTTTGAACGTTAGACGCTCCTAAACGTCGAGCGGCATTTGGACTGCGCGCGGGGCGAATGGTGAGAGTAGTGGTAGGCGGAGCCTCGAAAATCGACCGAGAAGTGCAAATTTTGCCAAGCCCTTCTAGTCAGATGTTGTAAACACTGCTGTTATAATACAAATAATGTTACAAATTTGAAATTAACTAAAATCAATAAAACATCAATGACATTTCAGTAGTAATTTGAATTTGTTTTGAAGGCCCCTACAATATTATGGAAAAAATTGTATGGTGCTATTTACAAAATTTAAGATGACTTCTATTTTTTATGAAAAAAAATTTTTTTTTATTTTTTTATCGCGTGTTTTAGCCTGTATAAAACAGATGAATATTCACCTTTTAACTTTTTTTTTTAACTGTCGAAAGTATCTGAGAAATTGTAAGGATGGTGAACACCCTATGTTTTATATGTATAAAAAATATGTGTAAAAATATATGATTTTGATGAAATAATAATAATATAAAAAAAACAGTACATTGCTGACTACACTATGAATCAAGAGAATAATTTATTTATCATTAAGTTGTAAGTTATAATTAGGGAATGGAAAGTTTTTTAAAAGTACTTTTTAAAAGGAACTTTTTAAAAGTAACAAATTACCGAATAGAAAAAGTAACAAGTTACTTGTTATCGATTTTTAAAAGTAACTCGTTACAGTTACCATTACTTGAGAAAGTAACTTTTTCGTTACTTTTTTAAAATCAACTACAATCACAGCCAATGGGTACCTAGGGGCTTTCTAATCTCAAGCGCTATAAGTGGCTTGCGTTCAATCGAACCGTATCTAATCATATGTGAGGTAACGGTAAAAGTAACTATAAAATTCATTACCGTTACCAAAAAAATGTAACTACGTTAGTTATCAAAAGAAAGTAACACAATTAAAATTATCACAGTAAAATTATCAAAAAAGTAACTTGTAACTGTAATAAAAATTATCAAAAAAGTAACTTGTGACTATAAATTTCGTAATGAGTTACTTCCATTTCCTGATTATAATATTGTACTATTAACGAGCTGACAAATTGTTAAAAGGAAATGTAATAGAATGCCACTCATGCCAAAAAATACTATTACGGGCTTAACAAACAGAGTTTTAATGTTGTCACATCCTAGCTTTCACGAAAAAAATTTCCATAGAATAATCAACATCTTAGTAAACAACGGATACTCCTTAAAATTAATTTTTAATATCATCAAAAAAAGATTGTTCAAAAACTTTAGAGATCAAAATGACAATGAAACTCACACGAATAAAAAACAGACAGACATAAAAAATATAACTACATTTTTCACGATACCTTATATTCCACCTATCTCAAAAATTTAAAAGATTTTTCAAGGACAATAAAGCAGTTCGATTCACTTACGGGGGATTAAACAAGCTTAATTCTTTCATTAAAATTAAAAAAATTAATTAACGTCACTTTCACAAATCAACGTGATTTGTAAATGTACAGATGGACATAGAACTATTAGACTCATTATATCATGATCTATTTAAAAAAAGTTTGACATTTCCATGTTTTATTTCCTATAGTTATCGTATATAATTTTTACATGTTTGTATCTATTTACTTATTATTATTTAACATTTATCCTTAGATTTATTCGTTCGACCCTTGATTAAGATTGAGAATTATCTGTAACAGTTTTGTTTCAAGTACTTTCTTAAATAAAGAAATAATTGCCCCTGAAGGTTTTTTCATTTAATCTTGTAATATTTTTTATTGTATTAAATTATACTAACATAATTTTTTTACAGTTGTATCTATATTTCTTTTCAAAGTAATATATTTAATTGAAATATTTAATTTCAATAATTTATTATGATATGGTATTTGAAATATTTATTGTAATTTCAGTAATTTATTATGATATAGTATTATATTTATTGTAGGTGTTGGTAGTGACTCACTCGTTAGATGAATTATTAACGGCAGCTAGCGCAAAATTTGAAATAACTGCAAAGAGAATTTTTACGTCGCAAGGTGGTGAAATTGATGATATTAAGCTCATTAGGTAAAAAGCTTGTTTATTTTTATATTTTATTTAGACATAATGTGTTAAAATTTTTTGGATTAATAAAATATTTCTCAATTTTTCTTTGCAGAGATGATGACATTTTATATGTTTCAAATGGGGAAAATTTTATACATATAAGTAAAATTTTGAACCATAATCAACTAAGTAAGAATTCGGAATGGATTACATTAAATGTTGGAGGAAAATATTTTACCACAACTAGGAATACTTTAACCAAAAAAGAACCTATGAGTATGTTAGCAAGGTATATTATCTGTCTCTTTTTCTAATTAGTCAGTTTCTATTGGGATGTATACAGTTAAATGTGTGCGTGCGTGCGTGCACTAATTTCCTTTAAATTGATATTCTCATAGTTACTTTTTTAAGATCAAGTGAAAGAATTAGTCTCACCCAGAACAAATAAATCATGTAACGTGTGATAAAAATATCAACACTAAATCAACATAAAGGATATTCACATAAACATTCGTATAAATATCGTTTTATTGATTTAACATTAAAAGGACCGAGGTAGCCAATTTGGCTTCTCGCGAAATTCAAACTAATATAACTTTTTCAATTTTGTGATATCCTTTTGTGACTTTTCATCATTTTTCATGTTCTTAAGTTTAGTAAAAAAATTTGCAATTATATAAATGGTTGAATTTTTATTTAATTGTCTACCTAAAAAAATCGTTACGCGTTAGACCCAATTTGGCTTCTTTATCCGATCCTTGTAGTGTTAAAAAATATAAGGCGTATGACTTTGCTTATGCGGTTTTTTTCCGAAATTCGAAGCTTTATTGTAAAAAACTGGTTATACATTTATGATTCAAAGTATTGTCCATCACTGGCCACTACTTTTTCCCATCTTTCGGGCAGCATACGAATCCCGCGTCGAAAAACAAGTG